ATTTGGGACCAACAATAATCAAATAGGCACATTACCATATGTGATAACATGAATAATTTTTACCTCGACTGAGACTTGAACCTACGACAAATAATTACTTTGAAAAGGCGCTACTTTTTAAGACCTTCTGTGGTGTAGTTGGTAGCGCCTTCACACAGTAACTATGTGTCGTAGGTTCAAGTCCCAGTCGGGGTAAAAATTATTCACGTTTTCACATATGGTAATGTGCTTATTTGGTTATTGTTGGTCCCAAATGAGATTGAGATTTAAATTAAATGCAAAAACAAAGCCATGAGTGAGATTTGGGGAAACTGTAATATGAACAGAGTGGCATTCATATAGAATGCGTTCATTCCTAGTGTAGCAGATATAGCTGTAAAGTTTGTTTCCCTTTTAAGACCTTCTGTGCTGTAATTGGTAGCGCCTTCGCACAGTAATTATGTGTCGTAGGTTCAAGTCCCAGTCGGGGTAAAAATTATTCATATATATATATATATATATATATATATATATATATATATATATATATATATATATATATGGACAAACAACTAAATCTATGACGTGTATGAAATAAAACGCAGTCCAAAAATGTTCATAAATTATAGTTGCAAATCCCGAACTGAATTTTAATCCGCTAATCCTCCAATCTAGATCCGCACTGATTGAATTATTTTATTAAAAAAGCCGGAGATTCAATATATGTCGCGTGTAGAGCTTTTCGGCAAGTATACTTCAATATTTATTTACTTAACTGGTTGAAATTGGAAGAGCAAAGATTGAATAAATGTTGGACAATGCTGAAGGAAATGGGCATATGGTGCCATGCGGAGTTGAATATCATACGGTGCCAAGTGAAATTGAATATAACACCGTGCCAAGCGAAGTTGAATATCATACGGTGCCATGAGAAATTGAATAGGAAAACAGAGTGGAAGGATATGAGAGGAAACGCAAACTATCCCTCACCCATGAAGGAAAGAGGGGAAAATAACCCGAATAGACGTACAAAATAATAGAGAGGAAAACAGAAATAAATGGACTGGGAGGTGATGAGACCTAGTCAACGCAATTTATGTCCATTTTTCATTAAAGAGACGAAAGCACCAACAAGGAAGTTGCAATACGAGCCATTAGAAATAAAATAAGAAAAATATAAAAAATGGGAGGGTCTGAAATTATGCAAAAAGAAGTAAAACGAATTGAATTAAATGGTCATAGTAATGAAAAAAAAATAAAAAAAATCTAGGAAAGCATTAGCAAATGCAAATTCAAACTTCCTCCCTCTTTCAAAAATTATAGACAAAAATGTCTCCCAACCAAAAAATGGAAGAGAAAAGAAATTAATAAAAAAAAATGAGGTGACTTCTAGTCGGGTATCTTTTATTTCTTACTAATCTACTGGATTCATTATGATTTCGTGCATGATTTACCAGAAAAAAGACCAAAGAACACCGATTTTCATTTAATTATTGACCTTTACATAACATAGAGAGGAAAAGACTGAAACACTGTGATACTCTTAGTGATATATCAGACACAATGATTAATGATAAATAAAATATGCAGTATAAGCTGTCTATAAAAGCAATTAAGGTGTGGCTCTGAAAACACTATCTGGTGTTGAGAGAGAGAGAGAGAGAGAGAGAGAGAGAGAGAGAGAGAGAGAGAGAGAGAGAGAGAGAGAGAGAGAGAGAGAGAGAGAGAGAGAGAGAGAGAGAGAGAGAGAGAGAGAGAGAGAGAGAGAGAGAGAGAGAGAGAGAGAGAGAGATTATTTTTTATTTTATTAATTTATTGCGCCAAGGCGTCACACATTTCATGATCACATAAGAATCAATGTCAACATAATGCTTCAAATGGATACACAACCAAGAATAGAACACAGTTTACAGGGGAGGTGTGCACATTGATAAAACATTGCTACATACTAACACACAACCCACAGCATGGCAACACGAAGTGCATTATACGACAAAAAAAAGCTCAGAGAAGCACAGAACTCACAAACACATTGCAAACAAAAACAAAACGGTATTATACAGCAACATACAGAGAAAATATACAATATAATATACAATAAACTATACAATACAATATAATTAATGGCCACCAAAGTGAGCATCACGAGCAAGAATAAATTCAAGGGTGTCATCATGAAGTAAGAACGTGCAGATCTGTATTAAGTTCTGACCTAGTGGTAAAACATTTCTCACTGTGGGTCACTGAAGGGCAATAGTGGTCAAGAGTGTTAGCATTAGGACGGTCGCATGATTTACAGGAGGTGTACTGTGGCATATCTAGAATCTGGGAGACCTGCCATAAAGGCCGATACCCCATTCTGAGCCGAGCACTAACTACATTATGTTTCCGCACCATTAACCTGCGTCGGCGATACTTCTAGCGACTGTGAGGAAAGTGATCATGGTGCTGTATGGACACACTGTTGGCCCTCTCCACGTCCCTGCGCCGTGCCGTCATGGCAAACCCAGCTTAGTAGATG